ACCCCACTCCGTGGAGGGCGGCGGCGGGAGGCAGCGGGCGGCAGGCCCTGGGGCGAGGAGACCCACTCACGTTCTCGAAGCCTGTTCTTGAAGTTGGGGTCACTCCGTCTCTTGCGGTCGAAGTAAATGCAATACCCGATGAAAAGGGCCCCGCATACACCGGCGGCGATGGCGCTGTTCCGGCCCACCATCTTCTCTTTCTCTCTAGAACACGGGGTGTAGACGGCGGCGGCGGGAACAGCGAAGGAGTGGTTGGCCGCGAACCCTGAGAGCGGACAACGCCGCTCAGTCCCCGACACCCGCCACCCTGGGACTCCGACAGGCCGAGCGCACGCCACTTCCGGTCACGGCCCTCCGAGGTCCCCGAGGTCTACCGCGTTAGTGCCTGAGCAGAGGCGCCCGCGCCGCTTCTGCGCCTGCGCAGCGGGCCTTGTCGCCATCGCTTACAGGCTGCGGGCGCGTAAACGCGCTGGTGTCTGGATTTTGGGAGGGATCAGGCACTGCCTGCAAAGCCGCCGAGTGTGATGTGACAAGCCGGGCGCGCTGCCGTCGTGCACGTACTCAAAAGACTAGTGGACAGCCTTGCCTTGCGAAAGATGGAGGGTCGCTGGCGATGAAGGCATCGTCTTCTTGTGTAACACAGGCAGCCTGTGACTTGTATGAATTAAACTGCACTTGCTTTTCAAGTTCAGTTGCGATCCATTGTACACAGCGATTAGATTTCAAAAGACTATTACGATATAGTTTCATTTTATGCGTGGAAAAAATTGGAGCAATTCCTTGAAAAAGATAAAACCTATACACGAAATTGAAGAAAAAAATAGAAAACGTGAATTGTTTTAAAGCCACCGGAAAACATTACATATGTAGTTTAAAATATTTCAAAAGGAAAACTGTGGACAAAAAGCAGACATTGAACAGGCAAGTGTAAGTTGGTGAGGGGTATCGTAAGTCAAGTGCAGGCTTCTGTATTAAACAATTTTGGTTGGCCTTTGTCCCTGGTTCCTGGGAGCTCTAAACCCTTGAATGTCCCGAGTGATAGGGATGGCATTGTTATGGTGGGCCCTGGCACTTAATGCTAAAATGACTCAGGATGAGGCCTGGCCATACCTGAGTTGGCATGTGATTTGAGGATTGGTGCTTTGATAAAGGTGGTATCAGCCCTACCTCTGGGATGGGGAGAGGGGCTAGAGATTCAACCACGTGGACTGCATAATGAAACCCCCATATAAAACCCTGGATACTAAAGTTTGGGGTGAGCCTCCCAGGTTGGCAATACTCTGTGCAGTTACACATGCATGTGCTAACGTGCTGAGGTGATCTTTCCTAAGTATCAGGTGAACGACTTAAGTTTCAAGTTTGGGACCCTCTCAGACCTCTCTCCCTATGCTTCTCTCCCTTAGGCTGGTTCTTATTTTCCTTGGTGGAAAGCTCTGCTAGTAAGCCTTTTAGGAATTGTGATTTTAGGTTTTGTCACATTGTAACCAGCTCCGTGATGCCCTATATGTTTTTTAATCATCCTCTCCCTTAACTACTTGACCCTTTGTTTCCCAGAAATGATGGATTCCTAGCCTCAAGCGATCCTCCTGCCTCAACCTGCCAGGGTACTGGAATTAGAGGCTGAGCCACCACACCCATCCTGAAATGATGGATTTTCTACAAGACAAAGGAGTTGAGATTCTGAAGGCCCCAGAATCTTCGTGCTGCCAGGATTCACCCATCTCCCTTGTCCACCTGCCCCAAGCCTATGATCTCCATTAGTCCAAGAGACAAATTTGAGGCAGCTTTTCCCATCCTCCTGGCAAGACATCTGCCATATTAAAAATTCCTTTCTTCCTTGGCAATCCTCGTGTCAATAATTGGATCTTTGTGCGACCAGCAACCGAACCTAGACCCAAATCCCCTTGCAGTTTTGACATGTGCACTTGTATTTACTGCTGGTGTGGGTTTTGTTTGCAGTGTTTCATAAACTTGGGGAAAAAGACCTTGGATGTGATCCCACCCTTTCCTGTAGGCTCAGGGAACATCATAGAAGAGAAGCCAGTCACGGGGGTGAATTGTAGGGTCCTCCAGTTCCCTCCACTTTGTATCCTCACTGAAAATCAGAGTGCCTTATTTTGTGACCCAGCCCATTGCAGGTTTTTCCAACACGGCATGGGCCCAAGCTGGGGCCTTAAACATTCCCAGGCACTGATAACATTAGGTTGTTGCCCAAAACTGGCCCCAGCCCTGAGCCAAATTCCTTAAACTTGCCAAGCACCGGTGGCTCACACCTTAATGAGTGACTGTGGAGGCTGAGGCAAGAGGATCCTGCCCAGGAGTTTGAGGCTGCAGTGAGCTATGATCACCCCACTGCACTCCAGCCTGGGCAACAGATTGAGACCCCATCTCTAAAACTCTCATATAAACCATACCCTGACCCCCTCACGGCAGACATACCGAGGTAGAACACTCCTTTTCTCTTGCTCTGGCTCTGGCTTGAGGATTGCTGCAGCACTCTGTAAATTCTCCCAATAAATGTTTTGGACTGATCACCCTGGCATTTAGTGCTTCTTTCTTTGGAATCCCAACCAACCCCAAATGGAACTCTCCTATTGCTGCTTTTGGGGTGATTCCAGCCATGGGTTCAGAGGGACAAAATAGATGATATGAAGCATTCGTGTCTTCTCATTCTAAGTAAGAATTCTTTGGCCTTACATTTTAAGCCCAGGATCATTAGCAGAAAACAGACTTTCATGAGGCAGAGTCAGGGAAAAAGTGTTCATGAGAAAGACAAGAGTGATGCTCATGATTAATCAAAACCACCAACAGTCTTTAGAACAGTAACTCAAAGTCAAATTTTAGCCATTGTTGATCACCATATATACTCTCATGGCTAGAAATATTTAAGCGGATACAACATATCAGTGTTTTTCCCAGATAATAAAGAATTATACAAATTATCTCTGGTGGAATTTTATTTATAAAGCACACATTACTTTTTGTCTATGTTAAATGTTTGTTTTTAAGAGAGACAGGGTCTTCCTCTGTCACCCAGGCTGGAGTGCAGTGGCACCATCACAGCTCACTGTAACCTCGAACTCCTAGGCTAAAGCAATCCTCCAGCCTCAGCTTCCTGTACTCAGCTACTGCTGGGACTACACGTGCATACCACCATGGCCAGCTAATTATTTAATTTTTATTTTTAGAGACAGGGTCTTGCTATATTGCCCAGCCTGTTAAATGTGCTTTTAAAGTATTATAGTAACACACGTTATGCTTAGAAAAAACAGAAATTGATTACACAGTAACAAATGTGAAGTAACATTTTAATGCGTTTAATAATCTTATATGCCCTGCTTTAAGAAGCAGCCCTTTCATAGGAGAGTCACAATTAAGTTTATGCACACAGACCACACATGAACATATCACCTATATACTCTACAGATGTTGCATTTTTATATAACTGGAAATATATGCAAAAATATTCAAGAATGATCAGATAATAAATATTTACTTGAAGCCAACTTATGACAAACACGGTTCTAAGCCCTATAAGGGAAACCAAGCATAAACTATCCAGTCCCTACATACAGGAAAATAGAGCTCTCTGTGCTCTCTGAAGAGCTGCATTTTAAAGACCCACTAGGTTTTCCTTCTGCTAGTCCCAAAAGACAAGATTTTTAAAACAATCAGTAATAATCACCTTCTCCACCCCCTCACCCATCTAAGTGACATGATGTATGTTTAATTGTTTTTTTTTTTTTTTTTTTGAGACAGAGTCTCACTCTGTTGCCCGGGCTAGAGTGCTGTGGCGTCAGCCTCACAGCAACCTCAAACTCCTGGGCTCAAGCGATCCTCCTCCCTCAGCCTCCCGAGTAGCTGGGACTACAGGCATGCGCCACCACGCCCGGCTAATTTTTTCTATATATTTTTAGTTGTCCAATTAATTTCTTTCTATTTCTAGTAGAGACAGGGTCTCGCTCTTGCTCAGGCTGGTCTCGAACTCCTGAGCTCAAACAATCCACCCGCCTCGGCCTCCCAGAGAGCTAGGATTACAGGCGTGAGCCACCGCGCCCGGCCAGTGACATGATGTATGTTTATTGCAGATTCTGCCCGCCTAAAATCAGCCACCCTGCTTTACTGTCCACTTCTCTGCTGGACACCGACCCAGTCTGTAAGAACCGTGAGGGGCACCAACCTCTCACAAGGTTAAGCCCCAAGGGAATGCAATGGTATCCTCTCCCTCCTTGTTGAACTTTATATTTTGTGACTTAATTACCATGTTTTATTAGAAATGTTTCCTTTAAATATTTTTTTTGGAAAGAATTTTTCATTCTACTGGTTAACATTAAGAACCACAAGTTTTCCTAGGAGAATATTTTTCAAATAAAAATAGAGAAGCAGAAATCTGCTTTATAGCCAATTTGCCAAGGACCTCAATAACCAGACTAATCCACGGTTAGAAATAAAAAAAAAAATCAGAGCAACATTTTTTTTTGTATTCTTTTTGGTTAGTTATTATTAGGTTGATGAAATAATATAAAAATTCAGAACTCCACTTAACATAAGTGCAAGAGAAAGAAAGAAATGAGTGGATATTACATAATAGCTCTCAAAACCTTTTTCTTAGAGATTGTTGACTAGACCTTGGATCAGTGTTCCCACTTTAATTATTAGGATATTTGGTCTAAGTACAATCAGTATTGAAGTTTATTCTTTGTTTCTCTTTCAATTTACTTTTTAACTTTGTCTCATCCCAAGTAATATTCTTGAAATAACAGAAGTATTAATTATCTGTTTCTAACATCCACTAAAATAACAGCCATTAAAATTCTGAATGTTCCCCCTAAGTCTAAAATCACCTCTGATACAATCAGAAGTAACACATAATCCATGGTAAGTAATCTTAAAACAAATGTTTCAAAGGTAGTATCACAATGTGAATAAACTAAGAATGTGGAAATGTCCACATTTTGTATACACCATTCATAAAAAAATTGTAAAACTCATGACATGAATATTAGCAGATAATACCACTTTTACTAACTACTTAGTTGGGGGGAGTCAAAAGCAGCTTCTAATCACTATTTCAGTTTTCTCTGTTTCTTAGTTTGTCCGCTTTTCTTTTGTCCTTTCTTCTTCTTTTTAATGAGAACAGCTTTTTCGCCAATAAATAAACTCTTAGAATGTCCTTCTGCATTTTTGGAAGCAAAATGAAGTCCCTGCTTAAGTTTACTGACATTCTTCAAACCTGGATTTGAACTCTGTTGTTTTAATTTTTCTTTATTAACAGAACGCATGACTCTGAGTTTTCTTCCCATTAGTTCAGAGTTATTTAATTTCAGAGCAAGATGAACAGCATCTGTATTCTGCAATTTAAACAACAACAAAAAAATCAATTCATTAATTTCTACCAGAAACTCATTTGCAAAGAAACTAGGTAAAAGTGTGACTTAAATGAATTAGAATGATTTTTGCTTGCACATAGAAGCCCCTCCTATTTCCATGGGGAGGGGGGGATCCAATCCCAAATGTTTTGCAGCCACGGGTGAAGTCTCATTGTCATGCTCCTCAGGACTTTTTCCCCAGAAAGCACTCGAACTGCCTTGTCAGACACTCAGATGAGTCACAATCCCATAGGCTTCATTTTTTTCATTGTAAAATGAGGTTTCGACTAGACTAGTCATATGCAATCTTTTAAACCAATGAACCTCCT